CGCAAAGCAACTTTCGGGCAGCGTGTGACGGTATCATTGGCCGTTTGAAGGCCATGATTCATGCCAAAGGTGACCAATTCGAACAAATCTAAACTTATTCTAAAATTTGATGCTATTTCCGACATTTTTTGCTTTCCTTCAATAAAATTTAAAAATTATGGCGTTCGATTTTGTTGCAGTTTTTTTAACTTACCCTGTATGTTACTTCATTGGTAGAACGCGTTGGAAGGTACCTGACCTTTTACAGGAAACAGAGCATCATAAGTGGAGATAGGCCGAAAATATTTCCTAAATGGGAGATCTGTATCTTCAATAGAAGACATTGGGAAGGTATTTTCTCAAAGCAAGGTCTGTCGAAAGACCAATCCTTTAAATAAAAGCAGCTCGAGATCTTTAAAAACGTTTGATCAATAAAAGGTCTTAAAATAGTTTCCTATCAACAGGAAACCCCTAAAGGAGGCATCCTTTTCATGAAATTCTCGCACATGCTTTTCCATTAAACGGTATTTGCAAAATTTCCTCTCTCACTAAAAGTCCTGTAGAAGGTCACCCATTTAATTTTTCTCCGAGCGTATTTATTCTCATTTCAGTTATGTGTATAGGGCTGCCATGGCTGGCAAGCAGGTTAAAAGCAAAAATGTATGCATGTGGGTCAATGTCATTCGACTAAAGTGACACATTATTCAAGCCAATACTTAATTGACGGAACTTACAAAAGAATTTGCGCAGTAAAGAAATACCAACCAACAACCGAACGAAGGAAAGTATTAAAGGAAATGCCAAGAAAAACAAAAAACATTCCAAAAAAAAACAAAGAAGTGATTAAACAGTTGTAATTTTTCTTGTTGTTGTTGTTTTTATTTTTTGTTAAAGACGACGACGAAGACGAAGGTTTAATTACCCAATGTATGACAGCTGAAGTTGAATATGGAGTGAAAAATTGCAAAAATAGCAACATGCAAATGTCTGTAGAGGGGAGGAGAGAGAATCGTACAAGAACAGGAAGTGGATTATACTTTGGTTTATTAATAGGTATCCACGTTATATGGGAGGAGAATAGAAGACTTATGGAACTCAAGGATATCATAGAGAATATCGAAGTATTGAGGAAAACTTCTGAACATAAAATACTTGTAGGACATCCTCTTTTTATATGAGGACTATGCATGGCTGGCATCACATTTACAGTTCCTAAATATTTTGCTGACGGAGGTATACCCTCAGCCAAAGTTCTTTATATAAATATATATTTTGACTTGCGTTATGAATATTCAAACTATTTGGAAAACTTTTGAAATTTTTATAAGGTACCAGATATAGAGGACCGAAGTATTCGACTTCATCTAATACTGATAAAAATATGATCGAACATTTATTTCCAAATTTGTACACATAATTGTTGATCCTGTTGTGGGGGAGGCACCAGAAGCAGTAGGCCGATTCCATATTCAATCAGATCTCTGGTTGAGAGAAATATATACTAATTTTGAAAGGAATCGCTGGCTTGTTTCGCAATTGTTATCCTCTTTGTGGCGAGGTACCTGAAGGAGTGGTCCGACAAATCCCATCTTCTTACCAGATTTGTGTTAGTAAAAATATTTGAATGTGTTAAATTTGAAGAGAATCGGATGTTTATTTCGCATTTTATGATAGTTAAAATTATGTTGTAAAAAAAAACCCGTTGTGGGGAAGGTACCAAAATATCGATAGAAATAATTATTCAAAATATTGACTCCTTGTGGGGGCCGATCATTAAATGAGCCGATATTGTTCATTTTTGCACCTGACATAGCACTGATACAAATATTGGGATTTCTAGGGTTTGTACTAAGTTGCATAATCCTTCCTGTGAAAATTTCGACATATTTTGATGTACCAGTGGTCCGATATTTCTCATCCCAGATCTCGATTTCAGTTTAATAATAAAAATACGATGTACCAAGTTTGGATCGGATACTCCTTTGAGAGTTATCATGTGCCCCAGCCAGGCAGGCGGACGGACGGACGGACATCCCTTGATTGACTCAAAATAACCTGGAACGGATTTGGTCCAAAGAGAATAAGCGTCTATATCCGTTGTTTCGATGTCGCACTTTTTGGGCGTATCAAATGATATACAGTGTGTGAAAAAAACTGCAACAAAGTCAAACGCTATAATTTTTACATGTTTTTTTAAATTTTATTGAATGAAAGCAAAAAATGTCGGAAACAGCATAGAATTTTAAAATAAGTTTAGATTGGTTCGAATTGGTCACCTTTGGCACGGATTATGGCCATCAAATGGACAATGAAACCATCACACGCTGCCCGAATGTTGCTCTGCGGTATTTTGGACAATTCCCGGCGAAGCGCTTGCTTGAGGTGATCGACACTTTGGTATTTTTTAGTGCCAACCTTACTTTCCAAAATACTCCAGAAACAATACTCCAACGGATTGGTATCCGGTGACTTTGGTAGCCATTGTGCGCTGGAAATGAAGCGAGGAACCTAATTTTGTAACCAATCTTGGGTGGCGCGTGCTGAGTGCGATGGTGCTGAGTCCTGTTAGAATGTCCAAGGTTTGCGGCCAAAATGTTTGCGTGTCCAAGGCTTCAATACACTCTCCAGAATATTTTCCGGATAATATTCGGTATTTATTCTGATGCCACTGTCAATTAATACTAGCGGAGAGAGACCATCGGCTATTATGGCGGCCCACACCATCACCATGGCCGGCACTTGAGTTCGGGTGGCCAACCGAAAGTGCACATTTTCAACTGACCTCTTTGGCAAGATAACACGGTCATTTTTTTGTTTACAACTACTGGACAAGGAATATTTTCTCACCAATTTCTCACAAGTAAAGCAACTCTTCAGCTCTTTTGAGTCTATTTTCTTTCTGTTCCGGTGTAAGTTCTTTTACTTTTTGGAATTTTAGTATCTTTACCCCGAGCTCATTTTTCTATATTTGTCGAATGGAATATTGCGATATATTCAGCTCACGAGCCATTTTTCGGGTTTCGATCAAGTCGCTTATTCTTTTCGACCCCTTTCTGCTGATGTTGCTGTTTTCTCCCGTCCACTTCCTTGACGTCGGGCTACGCTACCAGTATCACGGTAACGAGCGATGGTACGAGACACAAAAGATTTATTCACATTTAAATGCTGGAGTTCTGTAACGACAGCCACTTGTGGGTTTCCAGCCAAATATAAAAAAATTGGAACTTGAAAAAAATATTTTGAAAAAAAACCTTCGTTCGTTTTCTGTTTGTCCTTGAAAAAATTATTTTGAAAAAATCCAAGTTTGTTGGTCCTTGAAAAAATTATTTTGAAAAAATCCAAGTTTGTTGGTCCTTGAAAATTTTTTTTTGAAAAAATCCACGTTTGTTGGTCCTTTAACAATAACCGTTTGTTGTTCCTTGAAAAATATTTTGGAAAAAAAACCCACGTTTGTTGGTAATCGTTTGTTGTTCCTTCAAAAAATGTTGGAAACGCTTATTGGTCCTTATGTTTATTTAAAAATAATAAATATATATAAATATTTAAAAAAGATATAAATATTAAAAAAAATCGACGTTTCTTGGTTCTTCAAATAATATTCTTTAAAAAAATCGACGTTTCTTGGTTCTTTAAATAATTTTCTTTAAAAATCCACGTTTCTTGGTTCTTGAAATATTTTTTTAATCCACGTTTATTGGTCCTTGAAATAATATTCTTTAAAAAAATTCAGGTTCCTTGATCTTTGATATAATATTCTTTAAAAAATCGACATTTCTTGGTCCTGGAAATAATATTCTTTAAAAATCCACTCTTTTTGCCAATGCACCTTCTGTTGGTCCTTCAAAAAAATATTTGGAAAAAAATCCACGTTTGCTGGTACTTGACCATATATTTTTTTTAAAATCCACGTTTTTTGGTCCTAAAAAATCCACGTTTGTCGGTCCTTAAAAAAATCCACGTTTGTTGGTCCTTGAAAAAAATCCAGGCTTGTTGGTCCTTGAAAAAATCCACTTTTGTTGGTCTGTTGGTCCTGGAAAAAAGCCACGTTTGTTGGTCCTTGAAATAATATTCTTTAGAAAGTCCCCTTTTTTTGGTCATTAAAATAATGTTCCTTAAAAAAACCGAGTTTTTTGGTCCTTGAAATAATATTTTTTAAAAATTCCAAGTTTCTTGGTCCTTGAAATAATATTCTTTAAAAAATCCAAATTTCTTGGTCCTTGAAATAATATTCTTTAAAAAAAATCAAGATTCCAGGTCCTTGAAATAATATTCTTTGATAAAATTCACGTTCCTTGAACCTTGAAATAATATTCTTTAAAAAAGTCTGGAAATAATATTCTTTAAAAAATTCTTACTTCTTGCTATTTGCTATCTCTGACCTACATTTTTATTTCTCTTTACAGTTTTACACACATCAGCGAGTTTAGCGTTAAATGAAAGTTGGGATCCGGATGTCAGGTAAAGTATGAATTCATTTGGTGTTACCAAAGTCATAATAACCCTTTCTCTCTTCCTACCCACAGAGACGACATGGAAATGATGTTAAATAAAATAGTTCCCGAAGGATTACCCTATAGGCATTCATGTGAAGGTCCTGATGATATGGTAAGTCGCTACCCCCCATTTGTTATATACATACATTAACAATTCGTTTTCGCTCATTCCAGCCTGCCCATGTGAAAGCCTGCTTTCTCGGCAGTTCATTGACAATCCCCATAACGGATGGTAAATTATCCCTTGGCACTTGGCAGGGTGTTTGGCTATGCGAGCATCGTGATCAGGCCGGTTCACGAAAATTGGTGATAACATTAAGCGGGTGTCCGAGAGAAACGGCACGCAGTCCCCTATCACCGGTGTCACCAATTGCCTCCACATCCAGTTAGGGAAGGCCTCGCTCCACCCGTGATAGTCGGTAATCGCGGGGGAGCGACAATAATGAACGCATTTCGTCGTCGTCGTCGTCAAGGAAATTAATTTTGAATAGAAATTTAGCTAATACCAATTTAAATACAACTAATAAAATGATGATGAACAGGCGTGGCCTGCCGCAGCAGCAGCATAGCGCCGCCGTCGCAGCCACCACCAACACAGCATCATCAGTCTCGGATGCAGCCACAACTCCAACAACTAGCGCATTATTAAATGAGAGTAGACAATTGTTGTTAAAGCAGCAATTAAAATTACAATTAAATTTAAATGTTAGTGAAATGATGGATAATTTAAGACGTAGCGTTGATAATGATTACAACAACAAACAGCAAAAGCAACAGCAACAACAACAGTACGATGGTGATCTGAATTGGAATCGGAATCTGAGTTTAACTCGTGTCCAAGAAGAGGAACAGCAGCAGCACGATAGCAATATCATTGTGTCTAGAAGAAGGGGTACTACCATGGTGGCTGCCGACAGGGAGGTGATGGTGACAACAACCAGCAAAGCCTACAATGCCACAGCCAACAATGCCAAAGCCCGCAATGCCCGCCATGCCAACATAAATGCCATGCATGCCGCCGCCGAGGAGCAGGGAAACGAGAATGGACAAAATAAATTAGATACCGTCACAACAGTGCCTCAATTACAACAAAAATTTAATAAATTTAATATAATAGCCGATGAAATAACAACAACAGCAACAACTACGGATGCCGCTGCAGTGACAACAAGCATTGGCGCCGCAGTGACATTAGCGACAACATCCTTTGCATCGGCCACCGTTGCCGGTGTAACTGTTACCACTCTCATGACCTCGACGTCATTGTCGTTATCATCATCAGCCGCAGCCGCTGGAACAACAACAACCACAACAACAACAGCAACAGCAGCAACAACGTATACATCATTAACACAAAAACAACCATTGAATACGGCATTAGCTAAATTTAATCGAATTATTGACAATACAGTGCCGGTAATAAATAATTATCAACAGCCGTCGCCATTACAGGTTGCTGATTCCATTACCAAATCACAGCAGCAACATCCCCAGGAACAACAGCATATTGTAGGGATGCCCATATTAAGTGATAGTTTAAAACGTAGATTGGCCTCACATCATTATACCGACCTCGTTGTAAATAATTCAAAAATTAATTTCTCATACGAAGATAGAAGAACCAATGTGGAAGCAACCACTACCACCGCCGCCACCTTCACAACCACTACTACATCCCAACCACAGTCATTATCTAGAACGACAACAGCAACAACAACAACAGCCACAACCACAGATTCATCTTCATTAATATCTTTGGAAAGCATTACCACCATGCCCAAAAAGGTATCAATGGAAGATGAGTATGATGAGGATGGTGCCAGTAGTGATTGGAAACGAAATGATGTTCATTATTTGTTGAAACAATTAAATAGTTTTAGTGATATTGAAGAAATAGAAATTGTTGATATGAAGCAAAAACAGCGTCAGCAACAACAAAAGCTTATTATTAGAGAACAAGAGCACCAGCTGCAGCAGCATCTGCATCTGCCAAATGCTGTTGTTCAACCGCTGACTCAGAGTCAAACGGAAATTGCCGCCTCCGCGCACTTGCTGGAGGCGAAAAACCTAACTGTGGCCTTGCCACCCACACCACCTGAACAATATGTTACTAATGCTTCCTCAAACATAATAGCCCAATCCCATAGTTATGCCTACACGACCACAACACCAAGTATTTCCTCCTCCTCCACCTATCACACGCATCCTCCCGTTTCCAGTTTACCTCAATATATTTCTAGTTATTCAGCACATATTTCGGAGCTTACACAACACTCTGGCAGCGGAATAGTCGCTGATTCTGAGCATGAGCTTGAACAGCAGCAACGGCACGATGCAGCAGCAGCAGCAGTTACTCACATGGAAAGCAAGCAACATTCCACATCTCCCCTAGTAGATTCACCCACAGCCACTTCACTTGTGATATACTCACCATCGTCACAATCGCACAAAGGCATACGCCGTTATGCCTCCCTAAATCAGCAACAGTCACCGGATGAAGATGAGGACAGTCATCTGCATCATCACTATCATCAACGCCAGCATCAATGCTTTCATCCACAACATCACCACCACCATCATACACACCATCACCCGTTTACACATACTAGCGCCCGCCTAACACACGAGCATTATTCCGAAGGATCCATACTGGACTCTGCTGTGGCAGCACGAGCTGCAGCAGCCTGTGATCCGCTGGCCTTACAACAATTTGTGGATGATTATATATTTCAATCCTGCCATTATTTGGAAACAAATAATTTTGCCGCCAACTATTGCACTGCCATGGTCGAGTCCTCGTCACACGAGTTTCGGCCGTCAACCACCACCACCACACGCACCTCCAATGAGGAGTACGACGATGAGGAGTGTTACGTTGAGGATCATTCATCGGCCCATTCGTTTGAGCTGCATGAATGTGAGCCGCCCACAGTGATATGCAAGGCCCCGGCACCGCTGGCCGCCGACAACACATTACTGGCTCAACCCCAACCGATGCGCTCCTCAATGCGTCACTTGGCACCGATAACATCAATGCCCACAGCACCACAAGCCACACCACCACAATATACAATGGAGACACGTTTATGTAGCAGCGGTGTACAGACTGATTTAACGGCTTCATCTTTAGCGCAAAGTTTTAGCCTTAGTTCATCGACATCATCGTCATCATCAACGGAACAACGTAAACGTAAACAGCCAATATTCAAGTGTTGCTACACACCCCTGGATCGGTGGCGGGAAAAACGACAACAGCAACAACAAATCGAATTAAAGAAACGCACAAAAACTGTTGTCGCCGAACACCAACAGTTGACTGCTCACACCAATGCCAGCCATGATAGTAAGGCTGCTGCCACCACCTCCACTACCACCATCACAACTCGGTCGTGTTTGAAAAACACCAAAGTTAGTGTAATGGCGGTAAGCGGTGGCGGTAGTAGTATGGCCGGTGTTTCCGGTTCCTCTGGTATTCATAATGCAACCACAACCACCACCACCACCACAACATTATCATCCGCCGCAGCCATAGTTGTCCATTCACAGCATCATTCTTTACCAACAAAAAATGCACCTTATGCAGTTTGACAAATGCCTTTGAAGCAACATGTTTTTTGGTTTTTGGAAAAATGTTGCTTGCTTTCTAGCCATTTATATATATACTCTTACCTTAAACTAACAAACAACAACAACAACAACAAAAATACTAAACGATACAAAAACAACAAACACTATATAGTTTTCCTTTTTGTAAAAATATAAAAAAAAAATGGAAATTTTTGCCGCCCACTTAAATACAAAAAAAAATTAAACAACAAAAAAAATATTGAAAAAATTACAAAAAAAGAAAACACACAATGAATGAACAAAAAAAAGTAAAACAAAAAGAAAATATTTAAAAAGCCGCCGCTGTCTTATTTTTGTAAATCTATTTTTTCTCTTTTGCGATATCAACAATTTTTTGCTATTTCCTAAACAAACGAAAACAACAACAACAACAAAAACATAAATTAATAATAACAACAAAAATACTAATTTTGTATAACCTCTTTACACACAAAACCAAAACCAAAAAAAAAGTAAACAAAAAACTCCAAATCCTCCCTTCCTCCCCCTCCTCCATCAAAACACACAATTAAACAAAATCTAATTTTGAAAAGAAAAAAAATCAAAATTAAATTTTCCTTACATGCATAACGTACACTCATTATATACATATAAATATCAATCAAATTCACCACGCTAAGCAATATCTGGTATATTTCTTCTAACAAAATATCACAGTCATCTTTCTTCCTAAAAATGATTTTTCTTTTATTTTTGTTTTTTGAAATCTACACAGCTCCTTACAACTATTCACCCAATAATAAACAAATATATATATATATATATATATCTTTAATAACAATAACATTAAAACTATTTCAAGGACAAAAATAAAATTCACAAAACATATTTCTTCTTTCGCAACAAACACACCCACACATCTATCTCCATTAATAAAGCAGAAGTTTGTTATAAACAAAAAATGGTTTATTAAAAATACATGATTATATTATTATAAAAAATATAATTAATATTAATAATTGCTGAGCAAAGACCTCTTTTCTTAAAAAAATAAATAAAACAAACAACTATTGTAAAATATCAAATGTGTAAAGCTCCTTATGGTTTTCTTTAATTTTTCTATATAAAATATATTATTTACTAATACACATTGTTATTTCTCCTTATATATATTATACTTTTTTATATTATGCTGAAGTTTCAAAATGTTTTGTTTATAAATATTATTCCATGGGTATTTTTTGGTTTCTTTTATATAAATATTTTTTTTAATTAATCTCTTTACTATTATTATGGGCTTAATTTTTTGTGAATTAATAAATATATTGTTTATTTCCTTGATTTAAAAACATAAATTGTTTTTCTTTTTATCTTCAAAGTAATTTTGATTTTCAATATTGTGGAATACGTTACATATAGTGAGATAAAAAAGCTGCAACAAAGTCAAAAGCCATAATTTTTACATTTTTTATAGCCTACAACACTATGTGTTGGGGGTATTATAAGTTTGATTGGGCCAAAAATTATGTAACACCTCGAAATATTGGTTTCCCTGATAGGAAAATATATATGGATCTTCCTATCTTGCTGAGCAGAGTCGATCTAGCTATGTATGTCCGTCCGTCTGTACATGTTAACTTATAATCACTCTACAGGTCGCAATTATGGCCCGATCTTCACGAAATTTAGAATGGAGATTGGGCTAGAGTCAGAATAGAAGCCTATTGCTATCGCATAATATTAAGGGGTTGAAATGGACCAAAAATTGAAAAATTTCCTTATTTTGCAGTTGGTCTACAGATCGGAATTATAGACTAATCGACGCGGAAGTTAGTATCGGGTTAGAGCTTAGGGCTGGACAGAAGCCTTCCAATTAGGATGGTCATAGGGTAATATTTAGTGGGTGAAATAGACCATAACATTTGTCTTAAATAAAAGTCAAACTTTCCATTAAACCGCGAATATTTTTAATAGACAAACAGGTCAATTCTGACCGTTACGTACATGCCAATAGTAAATATATCGGATAATTATGGCGAAATGTATTCAATGTGTATATACAAAATGAGGAGATGTTAGCTAGAATGGTTATATCTCAAGAATCGCTGGACCGATTTTGAAAAATTTTGTCAATTCAGAATGCCCTCTTGGCATAAAAGTATAAAATCTAAACAAAGGGCTAGGCCTATTGTTTTCAAAGATCTCCGCAATATTTTTAGGGGTTGAAATGGACCAACAACTAAAAATGTTCCTGGTTTTGCAACCGTTATAAAGGTCATAAATAGAAACCAATGGACACGAAATCACATAGATGAGTCTAAATTTGGAGAAACAGGCCTCTTGCTTTTGAAGATGATCGCAAATGTTTAGGGGTTCAAATGAACCAAAAATAGAAAAAATCGTGATCACACAATCGAAGCCATTCGACACGTCTGAGAAGAGCGTTAAGGACAGGGAAGGTTTCTAGCATTTTGATGACCATTGGATTGTATTTAGCTGTAAAATGAACCACAACATAACAGCACGACGGAGTGCGTAAATATTGGTCAAATGCCCCCGGTCAAAATGCTAAGGGTAATATCTGAGCAGTGCACCGTGAAATAATTTCAAAAGTGAAACCTTCCGAAATGTATTTGTACATAAGAGGGCTTATAATATGTTGTAGTGTTGTAGGGTATCACATGATCGGCCCAGCACGACTATAGCCTTTGCTTGCTTGTTTTTTTTTTTCAATTTTATTGAATGAAAGCAAAAAATGTCGGAAATGGGATCAAATTTTAGAATAAGTTTAGATTTGTTCGAATTGTTCATCTTCGGCACCAATTATGACCTTCAAACGGACAATGAAACCGTCACACGCTGCCCGAATTTTGCTCTGCGTTATTTTGGCTCATTCCGTGCAAAGCTCTTGCTTGAGGTGATCAACACTTTGGTATCACTAAAGTGACAACCTTGCTCTCCAAAATACTCCAGACACAATAGTCCAACAGATTGGTATCCGCAGATTTCAGTGGCCATTGTGCGCTGGAAATGAAGCGAGGAACCTCATTCTGTAACCATTCTTGGGTGGCGCGTGCTGAATCCTGTTGGAATGTCCAAGGTCTGCGGCCACAATGTTTGCGTGCCCAAGGCTTTAATACACCCTCCAGAATATTTTCGCTATAATATTCTGATGCCACGGTCGATCAATACGATTAATATTTTGTTTGTTTACAAACTGCTGGACAACGAATGTTTTTGTCATCGGAGAAAACCAAATTCCGCAGTTCACCACTTTCGGCTAAGCAAAGCAATTCTTTAGCTCTTTTGAGTCTATTTTCTTTCTGTTGCGTTGAAACTTCTTGCCATTTCAATGGCTTTACCCCGAGCTCATTTTTCAATATTTGCCGAATGGAATATTGCGATTTATTCAGCTCACACGCCATTTTTCGGCCACTGCGACGCGGGTCTCGATAAAGTCGCTTCTTTACTTTTCGAACAATTTCTGCTGATGTTGCTGTTTTCTTCCGTCCACTTCCTATATAATATGTATAATATTCATACACATTTAAATGTTGGAGTGCTCTAACGATAGCCACTTGTGATTTTCCAGCAAAATATTTAAAGAAATCACACTGTCACGCTTGAATTCCATCACGAATAACTTTTTTTGTGGAAAATTCTCACCAAAATGCTTTTGTACGCTTGTAAGCAATATAATGAGCTGTCACTGGAATAATTTTAACAGCTGTCGGACGAGTGGCTTAAAAATGCCAGCAGTCTGAAATTGGTTGCAGTTTTTTCATCTCACCCTTTATAGCCGCAATAGCCATAAATCAGAGGGTATACATACTAAGTGTTATTGATAAACATGGCAAGTCAGGAGAATCCAACTCATTCCAAAGCCGTAAAAAGTACAGTGTTATTGAAATAAATGCCTGCCATTGTATGTTAAGACCACCAGAACCATGGTTATACGGCTGAATATAAAATGAGGCGTTATTCCTTATCGAAATAACTTTCTTCTCTGAAATTCCTTTTTACACCCTGACTTGTATGGCCGAAGAAGCCACATGTCATTCGATTTTGTACTTTAAATTTGCTGAATCTTTTGAAAATTAGAAGAGTTACCAAATATGACCCAAAACTGAAATGATGTAATCATTTTTATGGAATTCTACGATTTTTGTGATCGTCTCATAGAATAAAAAACAATCCTTAATTTATAACATGTAATATCCTGCACCAAACCTTAATGAATGAACTGTTATATATGTTTTGAAAACGGACAAGATTACGTTGTGGTATACTTTTTCAGTTTAAAGTATTATGAAATATTCAATATTCAATATCACACATTCTTATTCATAGCACGGATGTTTCTACCAAGTTTGGACGAAAACAGATACTTCCTTCGAGACTTTTTATGCGCACTAGTGTGTCATTTTAATATTTCTGATTATTTCTTCGAAGAAGATCCAAGGGGTGTTGGGAATTTTTTCCCTACCTAGGTTTCCTTAAAACTACACAGCGAACTATAAACCAATCATTATGAAAACCACATTATAACTAAATTATGTAAAACACACACACACACACTCGCCCATACATGCATCACCCAACCAACCGACACATATGCATTGCAAAAAGTAATAATAATAATAAATAAACTCTGTTTAGAATAAAACTCTAAGAGCCTAATAAGAATAAAAAAACAAAAATTTATATAAATAAAATATGAAAGAAAAAGATAAACTTATAACGAAATTGAAAAAATAAGTAACATTTTTAATATTAAAAAAAAAATAAAAGAAAACAAAAATAAACGGAAGAAAATAATTTTTAGAAAAACAAAACTAGCAATAAATGAAATTAAGACAACAACAAAAACCTATAAATATTAACAAAAAAAAAATTATATAAAAAAATTGCTGCAATTATGACAAAAAAAAAGAAAATAAAAAAATAAATAATTTGTTAAAACAAGGCATATGATTATGACGCTACAAGAAAAACCGAAAAATGAAGAAATTTATTTTTTAAGTATAATGATAATAATTACAGAAAAACAAAATATTTAACATAATTTAAATTCTAATAAAAAAATATAAAATCTTACAAAAAATAATATTGGCATGTAATAATGTTTGGGCTGGAAATGTTCCAGGTCTTGAAGAAAAATTCTACGAGATTTTTTCCATTTGAATATTTTTGTTAAAAAAAATAAAAATATCGTACCAAAAAATATTTTTTTATTTTTTTTTTCGTTGATTTTTGATTTTGACCGATTTTTCTCTTACCTCCTAACTTTTTAAAAATGTTTTGAAAAAAAACTTTAGCAATTTTATAAATTACTTTTTATACCCTACAACACTTTGTGTTGGGAGTATTATAAGTTTGATTAGGCCAACAATTATGTAACACCTCGAAATATTGGTTTCCCACATAGGAAAGTAAATATGAATCTTCATATCGAGCTATGTATGTCGGTCTGTCCATGTTAATTTGTAATCACTCTACAGGTCGCAACTATGTCCCGATCTTCACGAAATTTAGAATGGCGGTGGGGCTAGAGCCAGAATAGAAGCCTATTGCTGTTGGAGATTATCGCATAATATTTAGATGTTGAAATGAACCAACAACTAAAAATGTTCCTGATTTTGTAGAAATCAAAGGACACGAAATGTCGGCAAAGGGTAGAATGCACCTCTAGGCGATATCCGAAATACACAAAAGTCGAACTTTCGCTTAATTTTCCTGATCACACAATTGAAACCAATCGACACCGAATTTTGCCTGAGAAGAGAGTTAAGGACAGCGAAGAAGTCTAGCATTTTGGATGACATTTAGCTGTAAAATGGACCGCAACAACTAACAGCATGACGGAGTCCGTAAATATTAGGCAAGTTTTCCTTGTCAAAATGCAAAGGGTAATATCTGGCAGTGCTCCGTGACATAATTTCAAAAGCGAAATTTTCCATAGTGGATTTGGACATAAGGGGACTTTTAACATATTGTAGTGTTGTAGAGTATCACATGGTCGGCCCGCACGACTATAGCCTTTGCCTACTTGTTTCTGCTGATTTCGTTGACGAATATAGCCAAATATCGTAGACAAGCAAATCATATATATGAGTCTAAATTTGAAGCTAAGCTAAGCGAAATCTTCCAAAATGGATTTGGACATAAGGAGGCTTCTAACATATTGTAGTGTTGTAGGGTATCACATGGTCCGCCCCGCACGACTATAGCCTTTGCTTACTTGTTTTTATTTTCCATTGAAGATTGATTTTACTTTTCATTCTCCAACTCCTTAAACTTGATTGAGAAAATAATTTTTTTTAATTTAACTTTTATGTTTTAATTTTAAATTATTTGTTCTACAGTATTTTGTAAATAATCAAATCTTTAAAATGATAATTTTTATTTTCTATATTTTGAGTATTAATATATTATATATACAATTCTTAGAAATGACAAAAATTCGTATTATTTATTTTCTTCCTCGAACGTTCCAGTCCCTACATTAGAACAAAGAAGAAGAAACAATGATCCACAAAAAGAATGCATAATTATTTAAGACGAAAAAAACTTTATTAGAGAGCTTGTATAGTAAGTTTAAATAACTAAATAAATAATATTATTAGACAAAATGCTAAAATAATTTATAAGCTAATTTATTAAATAATAATAATAATAAAAAAAAACAAAAAACCAACAACAAAACTATGCATAAATAAATCCAAAACAAAACAACACTAGAGTAATAGATGATAATAAATACGAATGCTAAATAAAACAAAAGAACAAAAAAAAACTAAATAAAAATAATTTTTATTATTATTAATACCGAAAAAAACCCAACTAAAATTGTAAACAGAAAAGGCAAATACCATAACTTACATAAAAAATAAAATATCAATAAAAAAACACAAAATCGCAAACAAATAAAAAATCTCCCAAAAAGAAAACAAACAAGCGACAGCAACCTATTATTGATAAATGAATGACAACAACCAAAAGAAAAACAAACACAAAACGAACAATTTATATTAAATATAAAATAAAACAAAATAATAATAAATACATTGCAATTGTTACATATTATCCCGCAATACAAAAAAACAACAACAACAACATACATACATATAATATAAAAAGGCAATAATACTGTGTTTCTGAAAATATTTTGTTTCTGCGGTGGGATCTACATGGGTTTGAATAATCGTTGTTGATATAACGTATCTCCATAGAACTTCTTAGTGAAGTAAGAGATGGTAGAAAGTTTTACTAGTCTTCAAAGAACTTATCCTTTTATGCGAGAGATCGGGTCGGTCGGGTTTATACATTAGACTTCATTATCCACCTAAAACACGGTCTAGAGGTTCAGATCCTCTATTGCACACACCAATATTATTGGCATAAAGTTCAAGTTGCTACAAAAGTTGTTAATATTCAGAATATAAAAGAACTTCTACCTTATTCATATTTTTTTGAAATCGGAGATCAATGACCTGTAGTATGTGTATGTGGCTTCCGGATATTTTTGTACTTAACGAGGCAACATTAGGATTTTTTCACATATTTTAGTTCTGCATCTTATACGGCCTGTGCATATCCAAATGGTGAAAATGTGCCACCAAATTGCTTTTAATTGGGAATACTGCTTCGAAGACGCGGTAAATTAGTTCTTTTCGAATTTTCTAAAAATACATCCGATCAAACTTTAGGTGCATAATAGGATAGGACAAACTGTTCTGCATTATCGATGATCCTAGGAAGATCAATATCTCTATATAGCTTCATTTAGTTTTATATCTCGTCAAGGACCACCCGCAAGGGTCCGGCTGGTTTGACCGACATTGAAACTGTGGAACATCCGAGATTTAATAAGTGACAATATTCTCTATCTGTCATCGCGAGGTTTGAGTCCCAGAGCTGTCCATATCTTGCTCTCTAACTGTAAAGGAAAGTCATCCCAGGTACCTATTAGAATTCTTCCCTGTTTCAGCCATCAATTTCCTAAATAAGATTCCAGAGTAGCTGACTATATCTTATCATGCATTTTCCTTTTCTAAGGACGTAACTTCCACTTTCTCTCTCTTTCTTTTTGTTCGAGAAACACCTACTGCCGTAGAAAAATTATTTAACAATATAGATGACTCTCCTTGAAAAGGAAGATGACACTCCAGTGGTGTCAATACGCTGTTTCTAACCAGTAAAGGAAAAGTCATCCCAGACACGAACAAGAATTATCTCTGGTTTTGCTTTCTATATCCTCAAATAGGATCCAAAAGACCTCACTATTTCTTAACGTTCTCTTCTTTGCTTATTTCAGTGTTAGGACTTCAGTCTCTCCCGACATTTCGGTCTGGGTGGTTGAGTTTCTACTCCTAGCAGAAGAACCACATTATCTCTCTATATCTGTCCATAAAGCTTCTACTGCCGTAAAAAGGGTTTGATGAATTTGATCGAAATTGAAACTGTGGAATATCAGGGTTTAAAGAAGTTAGAATACCCTCTTTCTATCATACCCAGATATAAATTAGAATGCTCCCCTGGTTCAGCCTCATATCATCTCAATAGGATACAAGAGGAGTGACTTTGTGTTTTTAATCTTCCCTATGCTATTTTCAGTGTTAGGACACCTGACCCTCTCGAAACTTAGGTCTGGGTAGTTGAATTCCTTCTCATAGCAGAAGAAATATAACAATGGTCATTTTTCATGCTTATATCCCTTTATATCAGCACCAATCGAAGGTTCTATTCACTATGTGATTTTAATTGTATCAATCTCCAGATCTCACAGAGTCGGTGAAGGGGAAAATACTGACCATAGAACAGGCCCCGTACTAGATCAAGGGTTTGATATCTAAGTCGTATAGAATACATACCGCATATCTGCAGCAACGATGAGCACGAGCTAATTTAGTTAAGGACCGATACCTGCGTCTGGTTAATTTGGCGCGCCAAATATAGCCTTGTCGGCCTTTTGTATTCAGTTTTCCACAATTTCTGGATAAGCAATAGTTGTAGAAACTATAGGGGCTTTATTCAACGGGTGCCATCACCCGAGCCTTGCTTGAGCTGATAGGTAAATAAAATTATCCTTGATACAGCACAAATGACTATCGCCAATTTTCTCATTTATATGGAATGGCGAAAGTGAAAGAAATGCCGTCGATGCAATACTTGTTTCGGTGTTATAAACAAATCCATTATAATCATCATATGGTGGATAGGCAACCTTCGTCAAGGCATGCATAGAAACACCTTAGGGAGCTGCCTCGACAAACACGAGTAGTTTTGGCACAATCGAGATTCTCAACTCATATTGGGCTCTAATTGAAAACAGTGAGCAGATACCTGGCCAGCATATGGAATAGGCCCACATAACACTCTGTACCTTTTTAACTGCCCAGCTAAACGTACTCACATAACCCCTCTCTCCCTATCCTTTTTGAATTTGGAGTTAGGAGCCAAAGCCAGGTTATAGAAAATTAGTACGAACGCAGCAGTATGTGCTGCCACCAACAATTTCCCTCATCGAAAAAACGTACGACTATAAAAGATGCCTAATAAGATGCCAAATTCTTTGAGGTTCCACAGATGTGCTTTCACAGTCTTTGGCAGCAAGGTGTGTTTTGAAACTTTTCTCCCACATTTGAGGGCGAAATCTAACATCATGTCTGTCTGTGTAGCGCTTTTGGTAACACTCCAATCTCCAGCTATAATTTTTCACACTCCTTGGTAGACTTTTAAGCCTTTTCAGAGGACTTCTTCAATAGACCATGTCTAGGATCTCTATGACGACTCACTAAATCCTACAGACTGGATGAAAATTCACAAAGCAATGAATCAAGCTTTCTACAACGACAAGCAGGCAGCAGGACTTAAGAATCTGATATTATGGGATGAAAACTAATTATATTTTTATTCAAGTAACTTCTGTGACTTTGTCTCTAAAAGGAACCACAATCCATTTTGACACACCCAATTAAATGATTTTGAGTTTGCCACCTCCTTCCTAGTATTTTTGCATCTCTTCCCCTAAAAGAGGCCACCCACTTTTTGGGATTTTTTATGCATTAATTTTTTGCCACTTCCTTTACTAGGCATTATATTTGAGCCTTTATCTTCAATTACCTTATTTTAATAAAAACTATTTAATTTTGTTTGCCAATAAAGAAATTTCTTATTTCCATTTTATCCCACCACAAAAATGGAAAGTTATCTTTAGCACAGTGTTATTGTGTGGAAATTATCATAAAGACAATTCTAAACTGATTTAATAATAAAAACGAAAAATTAAAGTCATCACCTTCCTTCCTCTTAAACACTGCATAAATGCATTAAATTTTAACATCGCCCCCTCTCCATCTCCTCCACCTCCCAGAATATTTCCTTCATTAAAAATAACAAAAATAAAATCAGTTATATATAACCGATGCCGAAGCTACCATCACCATTTGCAGAAATTCAAAGAAAAAAAACAAAATATAGATAAATTAAAACAAAATCATTTAACTAAAATAAAAATAAATGAAAAAAAAAACATTGTTAAGTTTGTACTAAAAATAAAATTAATAAAAAAAATCTCACAATACATTATGCATAAATAAACCAAAACAAACAAATAAAGAATCAATAAAAACCCAAAAAACAAATAATTTGTTTAAATTAAATTTTATTAATTAAACTCATATAGAACAGATATGGAAGAAGAAGACGCAAGAAACTTGTTACAGCATTATCATCATTAACAAAAATCGAAAAGAAAAAATAATAATAATTAACACAAAATAACATCATTTTTATTACAAAAAAAAAAATAATAACTTAAAGAAAACAAAAATATAAATCACGCTTTTGTTTTTTTATTATTTAACTCACTGTTTATAAGCTTGATGTAGGAACATTTGGATAAAGGATTTAATTTTTTATTTACTTGGATTAATTTTGGGTACAAATAATAGTTTCAGGAAAGAAATTCAAAGTATTCTAACGCTGGGATTGCTCTTTAGTGATATTCCTAATTATTGGTTATTATATTGATTTTTTTTTCGGGAAAAAAATAATGTTTAAAATTTGATTCTCCTGGCTCATTAATATTTTTCTAATATAAATATCAAATCAACCTACAAATTCCTTTGGAAAAATTTTCAAATCTTCTATAACTTGCCATTTTATTTTTCGTTTTCATAATTTTCAACACAATATCATCACAAATTCCAACATTATACCACACCATTGTCCCATGCATTCACATAACTTTCATAAAATAACACAACAAGAACAAAAAACACTCGAAAATAAATTTATATACGACATTAGATACTATCACATTGCGACACACACGAACACAAACACATTTTTTCTACACACTCTTGTCAATTTTGTTATAAACAAATTTATTATTATTCTTAAACAAACCAGAAACCAAAAACTATATGAAAAAAGAAATTATCTTTTTATCAGCAGCAAGCAACAACAAACAACCCGAAGAAGGTGAAAACGAAAACCAATACCTTAACAAACCTATTTCCCCTTTTACCAAAAAACCAAACTAAAACAAAACAAAAAAAATGAACAAATCTCACAATTTTCTTATAAAACAACCCCGAAAAGAAAACCTAACAAAAAACTATTCCCAAAAATTTACTACAAAGAAAACCAAACCCAACACCACAACAACAACAAAAACCCAAATGAGAAAAAAACGTTACCAAATAAACCAAGAAAAAAAATAAATAAAATAAATAATGATGATGATATTTCATATGAAGAAATAAAATAATAACAAGACGAAAAACACAATAAAAATTTAAAAATATTACAAAAAAAATATTAAAAATTTAGCATGGTGTTTTATTTTTAGATAACTAGAAATGCCGAAGTATCCAGGGGTATTATGGCTTTTCGAAACGCTTTTCAACAACCAGTTCTCTCTATAAGCCGATCCCGCCATCCCAAACAGATACTTTTAGACATTTTTTTAACTTTATAGAGCTTTCAATAATTAAATATTCCATGCTGGAATCTATACCCTTTTTATTTGGTTCTATTTTACCTTTGAGGTCCTTCTAAAAAATCCGCAGCACCTATTTTAGAGCTTTCAATAATTAAATATTCCATGTTGGTATCTATACTCTTTTCCCCTTTTAAGTTAATTTAAAAAAAATGCAATCCATATAAAGGGTGAGATGAAAAAAATGCAACCAACTTCAGACTGCTGTCATTTCTAAGCCACTCGTCCGACAACTGTTAAAATTACTCCAGCGACAGCTCATTATATTGTTTACAAGCGTACAAAAGCATTTTGGTGAGAATTTTCCAAAAAAAAATAAAAAAAATTTCGTGATGAAATTCAAGCGTAATAGTGTGATTTCTGGAAAACCAGAAGTTGCTATCGTTAGAGCACTCCAGCATTTAAATGTGAATATATCTTTTGTGTCTCGTACCATCGCTCGTTACCGTGATACTGCTAGCGTAGCCCGACGTCAACGAAGTGGACGGAAGAAAATAGCAACATCAGCAGAAATGGTTTGAAAAGTAAAGAAGCGACTTCATCGCAGTGGCCGAAAAATGGCTCGAGAGCTGAACATATCGCAATATTCCATTCGACAAATATTGAAAAATGAGCTCGGGGTAAAGCCATTGAAATTCCAAAAAGTGCAACAGAAAGAAAATAGACTCAAAAGAGCTAAAGAGTTGCTTCGCTTGGCCGAAAGGGGTGAACTGCCGAATTTGTTTTTCTCCGATGAGTCCAGCAGTTTGGTCGTATTTTCTTACCAAAGAGGTTAGCTGAAAATGTGCACCCTCGGTTGGCCACAAGAACTCAAGCGCCGGCCATGGTGATGGTGTGGGCCGCCATAACAACCGATGGTCGCTCTCCGCTCGTATTAATCGACCGTTTCATCAAAATAAATGCCGAATATTATTGCGAAAATATTCTGGAGGGTGTATTAAAGCCTTGGGCACGCTAACATCTTGGCCGCAGACCTTGGACATTCCAGCAGGACTCAACACCATCACACTCAGCACTCGCCACCCAAGAATGGTTACAAAATGAGGTTCCTCGCTTCATTTCCAGTGCACAATGGCCACCAAAATCTCTGGATACCAAGGTTGGCACTAAAAAATACCAAAGTGTCGATCACCTCAAACAAGCGCTTCGCCGGGAATGGGCCAAAATAACGCTGAGCAGCATTCCGGCAGCGTGTGATGGTTTCATTGGCCGTTTGAAGGCAATAATTCGTGCCAAAGGTGACCAATTCGTACAAATCTTAACTTATTCTAAAATTTGATGCTATTTCGGACATTTTCTGCTTTCATTCAATAAAATTAAAAAAAATGTAAAAATTATGGCGTTTGACTTTGTTGCAGTTTTTTTTATCTCACACTGTGTACTACGTTCCACCACAGAAGCTACAAATATAGAATTCTAAACAAATCCTTTAGAAAATGTGACTTAATTCGTAAAAACTTTTAATATGAGACATTAACGTTTAATAGGTGCTATAATAAAACGTAGACCTAAATAGATAACAGTTTGTCACAAGAGGTCACTCTAAATACTAAAATAATATCATCACATCACCTTATTTACAGTAGCAATTTTGAATATTTGTTGACAACTAGTAAGGCACTTACCTCTTTTAAATCCTGTAAAGAAAAAGAAAAACAAGAACATTCAGTTGGAATGATTTCTATTTATAATTACAAGTGCTTACCTTTCTTTCACAATTTAAAAAATTGAATGCTTATGATGATACATTAAACTACAGATGGTTTCCTTATCCAATCGAACACGAAATATGAAATCATTCTTTCAACTACCTTCTCATTTAATATTCTTGTCCGAATTTATTTAATTTTATGTTGGATTTTTTTTTTCGTTTTTCCAGCGACACCAAAAAGAATCCAAATTGCAAAGGTTTCAGTTCTAATGAGAGTCATTGTTTATACTCTTGAAATAGTTAACTGTTTATTTTTTTTCTTTTTGAACACATTTATGCATTTTCACGAACAGAAGTCCAAACATTAACCGATTAGAACTATAGGCTTTAAGATCATAATCCATACTTTTGCAAGGCTTTTAATTTTTTGTGTTGAAGATTGTTGAGGTGTTATTAATGTTCTTTTAAAGTTTAAACTTAAATTCAATTTTGGTAGAATTTTAATCTTATGATACTGTATATCGAATCCAATTGGATTCAGATTCAATTTCTTCGTGGATTTTAAATAACAAGATGACACCTTTTCACCGAAGCCTTTGTCATGCACAAGGTAATTGATCTTGAAATATAGTGACTGGAATTCACATCATAGTTTTTACTGGCTGTTTGTCGGTTTCAATCATTGTAGCCTTAACTCTAAAGCAAAAGAGAAACAAAATTAGTTCTTCATGAGAACTAAAAAAATAAGATTAGATTAATGAACTTACCTTCTTTGATTTTCACCCAGATTTGATCAGTTTGAAATTGCCTATTTTTTGTCTCCACTTTTTTTAGAGACATCCGTGTAAGTCTAATACCAAGCGACATCGAACGAACCGGCGAAAACACGAAATAAATGCGACAACACCGAAATAACCGAACATAAAATAGACACAAATACATTTTTTCGACCCGACCGTAAAGTTCGCGAATGTTTTGAGATTTGTGAACGTTTTGTTTGTTTTTTTTTTTTTTCTTATTATATGCTTTTGAGATGGCTCCAATATTTGTTGTTTTTGCAAAAGTTCAACCATGAATTCTATGTTGATCGATCCAATTGGATTCTGATTAATTTTTGCGTGGACTTTAAAAGATGACTAGACACCTATATTCCCCGCAGGCTTTTTCATGCACTAGGAGATAGCTCTTGAAAGATAATGACTGGAATTCACATCATTGTTTGTATTTATCAGGAGTGTTTAATGGCCGTTTGTTGGTTTCAACCATTGTAGTCCTGCTCCTAAATCAAAGCAGAAACCAAATTAGTTCTTCATGCAAACCGAACAAATAAGGTTAGTCTAATGAACTTACCTTCCTCTTTGATTTTCATCCAGATTTGATCAGTTTCTCCACATCATATTGCATATTTTTAGTCTAATAGTATAATACGAAGCAACGCGACACCACGAAAATAACCGAACACAAAACACGACACGACCATAAAGGAATATCTCGAAATATCCAATTGGATTCGGATTCATCTTATTCATGGACTTTAAACGATGACTTGCCACCAATCCACTGGAGCCTTTTTTATGGACAAGGAAATTGCGATTTATTTCATATTTATTAGAGACTGTTACTGATTATTTGTTGGTTTCAACCATTGTAGTCCAGCTCCTAAAGCAAATAAGAAACAAAATTAGTTTTTCAATTCAACTGGACAAATTTAGGTTAGGTGTATAAAATTACCTTCTTACTTGGTTTTTGTCTAAATTTGATCACTTTTACTGCTGCACTTTTCCAGGGACCCGTATGCGACATTCAACGACAGAGAAATAAACGCGACACGACGGAAATAACCTAACTCAAAATAGGCGCACATTTAATACTTCGACACAACCGTGAAGGAATTTCAATTTGAAAACGTTTTTGCAGAGATTAAGCTTAGAACTTTTTATGAGCAACATCAGTTAGTTTGCTGCCATAAGTTAACGTATTTCTTCTGTATAAGAACGCCTTTTCTTTCACCTACTCGTTTTCTTAACCGAGTCCACATGAATTTGTAGGATTTTTTGGCCATTATATTGTGATATTCAATCCACAACCCATTGTGGCTAATTGCAGTTCATTCATAGTCAATCCGTTTTCTTTTTTTCTTCTTTACAACTGATTTTTTTGTGCCTTCTCCGGTAAATATAAAAATTCACTTCATTTCTTAATCGACCGTTTCCGTTTTTTCACATTTAAACCCGCCAAAATTTCACAATCAACTAACGAACAGAAGCCAACATCAGCTGTTTTCATTTCCAATTGCCATACATTTGCGTTACCGCCGCTACTAATCGATAATAACAATTCACAATAGTGAACAAAATTGGCGCCGTCGTTAATTTTGACCGGCTTTGTGACAAATATGTTGTTGGTTTTCTTCGTGTCTCTTTCGTAAACAGAAGATACGGCCACTAAAATATGTAAACAAAATAAGCTTAGTGTCTAGCTGGCCATTTAGTTTTTTTAAACGTCGATAGGTCAGGCACGGCATTTCTGTGAAATGTATTGTCCAATTATCATTAGAGCTTTCTTATAATATGTTTACATTAGAGTATTTGCCGATTTAACCTCCTCGGTTGAAACTTCGATGTTATTTTGGGTAAAAATGGCTGCATGTGCAGTTTTGACTAAATCGGCTAATCTGTACAAGGGTTATCGGAAAGACTGATGGAACACATAGTTATATCGACGAAACCATTATTTCTATGGGACACACCATCGCTCTCAGCACGCGCCTCCAAGAATGGTTACAAAATGAGGTTCCTGGCTTCATTTCCAGCGCCCAATGGCCACCAAAATCTCCGGATATCAATCCATTCGGCTATTATGTCTGGAGTATTTTGGAAATCAAGGTTGGCACTAAAAAATAACAAGGTGTCTCACCTCAAGTAAGCTCTTCGCCGGGAATGGGTCAAAATACCGCAGAGTAACATTCGGGCAGAGTGTGACGGTTTCATTGATCGTTTGAAGCCCATAATTCGTGCCAAAGGTGACCAATTCGAATAAATCTAAACTTATTCTAAAATTTGATGCTATTTCCGCAATTTTTTGCTTTCATTCAACTTCAAACAACACAAATTTTAAGATTTCCTCTTTCTCCCTTTTTGGCTAATAAATTTAATTTTCTAATCAATTTTTAATCCATATATAAAAATTTTGAAAAAATCCCGCTTCTGAAAATATGCCATATAGGAGAATTTTCCGAAAATATTGGTTAATGAATAGGCAGATTCCACAAATTTAACTACTCACCTATTTCTTCTTCATTTTATTTCCACCTGCACCTTTTTTTTACATGGAATGATCAGTCACTGCCAAAACATTTTCGAAAAATACAATACAAAAAATAATTTACTTTTATTTAAATAGTATATAAGTTATTCATTCCACTTTTTAAGAGTTCACATAATTAGGAAATAATTTCGACATCCGTTCCGGCTGGAATAATTTATTGACTTTCGTCTCATATCAAATCGATTATTGTATAGTTCGTGTAACAGAATCAAAAGCTTCATTTTTATGATCGCTGACATTGGGTCTTGCTTCATAACTGCATATAGTTACACCATGATGATGCGCCTCACTAAATTCACCACGAAGGCCTATGGAAAAAATATATTGAATTATTTTTTCATATTAGAAATAAATATAAAACTTACCAATATAATAGATTTTTGTATTATCATCACCAAAATTGGAAGGGAAATGTATGGATAGGTGGTGTACTGAGGAAAATGTTACAACTCTGTAAGAAAAAGATATCAAGTTTGAATTATAGCAAGTTCATAAAATGTCCAAAGGAATCCCATTTCTGCAACTTCAAAATTCAATAGATTTTCAAGGAGCCTTGCAAAATTAAGATAAGGATGCGACTTTTTCACCATTGTTTTTTTTTTAATTCAAATTTCGAAATAGTTCGAAATAACATAAACACATGATTCAAATACTTCTTTTGCATTAAACATTTTGCTGGGTACTTACTTTGGGGAATACTCAACTTCACCCCGGCAATCTCGTGTCAATTCGAATTCCTGATCCGCTTTAGCTTGGGCATCATCAAATGTCATTTTTTCACGATTTTTGAAACTAGAATAGATAGAACAGAAGAAATATAAATACTCTATTTATCAAACTCATATTAAATGGCAACACAAGTATTAAAGTTTTATAACAATAGATTGCAAAACAATTGATCGTCCTTACTTACAGCCTCATCTTATTGGGATGTGAATCATCATTGGCTCCAGCCACAATAATACCCTTCAGCTTAATGTTGCCGGTAAAGGGTATGTTGAACAGCAGCTCCTCATCACAATCACTTTTGACAAACTACAAATATTAAAAAAATATTTCTATTATTTTTGAATACAAAATTCAAAATTGCAATTGCTATGTTTACCTTTGTCACATCCAACCGTTCCTCGTAGGGTTTGAAAACTTTTTTGCCATCACCATCACTCTCCTCATTTAAGCATTCCAAATTTTCCATATCAATTTTTTGATATAGACTATATTCGATACCCATTTCAAGGGCATGATCGACATCGGTGGCTTCGTGGCCACATCCATGGCCGTGGTTATGAGAATGACCGGACATTTTGAGTTGTTTTGAGTCTTTCCAGAAAGAACAAGTTCAATTGAACTATTCACCTAAAGAGTCTGTAAGAACTAGTTCTTGTTGTTTCACTCATTTGGTATATTTCTGCCAGGCATGGATACTTTTCATTAGATTACTTTTAAGGTTATGGAAAGAGGATATTTGAACCGAATATATTTATACCGTATCTGCAGGAATATAAATGTATATATGTTTATTAAAGCTTATAAAAGTACTTCTCTAACTGTTGGTCACATTTCTTATGAAATCAATATGGACCCATTATCGGATTTTACAAAATATATGTTAAATTATTGCGTCAATATGTTTCCCGAATTCAGTAATATGAGTCGAATGATACTTTTTTAAGTAGCCGGCTTCTGCCTTGACTACAGTATGGCCAACGCCGGCTACGCATACCAAAGTGTTTCTAAATTTTATAATTTAATAGTTACCGGATGGTTCTTGAGATATCTTCCTGTGGGGCTAGGCTAGCTACGCGAACTTAAGGGTGCAAGTACATAAAAGGCTTGAAGTCAAGGCTAGGCATATTAATGTCAAGTTATAATGGATAACGACGACAGGATTTTAGCGCTCCGACTTTTTTCTCTGGAATATACCTAGGACCAGCTACGTACAAATTTACCTAATAAGAACTTAGGCAAAAATGAACAAATTCTGATAAAAAACTGTGCCTCATCTCTTCGAAATACTTAATATTAGACAATAATGCCGATTAGAAACCTAGAATATCAAATTACTACTGATTTGTTGAAAATGGACCGGAACCCTAAAAAATATTTCCAAACGGTATGTAACGTTGAACGGGCCGTTGAATGGTACTTTTAAGTTTTGCCTTTACGTTACAAATATTTATGCCAAATTTAAAGAATTTTACCGTTTCAGTTCCTCATAAAGGAGGTTAACCCGGCAAATACTCTAATGTAAACATATTATAAGAAAGCTATAATGATAATTGGACAATACATTTCGAAGAAATGACTTCGACGTTCAAAAAAGCAAAATTACCAGCTATTTGTTTAGGAATTTAAAGAAAACTATAAGATCTTCTGTTTACGAAAGAGACACGAAGAAAACCAACAACATATTTGTCACAAGGCCGGTCAAAATTAACGACGGCGCTAATTTTGTTCACTATTGTGAATTGTTATTATCGATTAGTAGCGGCGGTAACGCAAATGTATGACAATTGGAAATGAAAACAGCTGATTTTGGCTTCTGTTCGTTAGTTGATTGTGAAATTTTGGCGGGTTTAAATGTGAAAAAACGGAAACGGTCTGTTAAGAAAAAAGTGAATTTTAATATTTACCGGAAAAGGCACAAAAAATCGGTTGCAGAGAAGAAAAATAGGAAAACGGATTAGCCATGGTAGAATTGTCATTAGCCACAATGGGTTTTGGATGGAATATCACAATAGAATGGCCACAAAATCCTACAAATTAATGTGGACTCGGTTAAGAAAGTGAGTGGATTAAGGAAAAGACATCCTTGTACAGAAGGAATACGTTAACCTTATGGCAGCAAACTAACTGACGTTGGCCATAAAAAGTTCTAAGCCCAATGCTCTGCAAAAATGTTCTCAAACAGAGATTACATCAGGGTCGTGTCGAAATATTAAATGTGTGCCTATATTGCGTTCGGTTATTTCCACGGTGTCGCGTTTATATCGTTGTTGTTCGAGGTCGCGTGCGGGTGCCTCAAAAAGTGCAACAAAGTGATGAGTGATCAAATTTGCACTAAAACCAAGTAAGAAGGTAATTTTATACACCTAACCTAAATTTGTTCAGTTGACTTGAAAAACTAATTTTGTTTCTGATATGGTTTAGGAGCTGGACTACATTTGTCAATAACAGTCTCTAAAAAATAAGAACTATGAACTAAATTCCAATTGCCTTGTGTCAAGTCTTCGTATAAAGTCCATGAAGAAGATGAATCTGAATCCAATTGGATATTTGGCGAAATTCCTTTATGATCGTGTCGAAATATTGAGTTTGTATCTGTTTTGTGTTAAGTTATTTCCGTGGTGTCGGTTTCGTTCGACGTTGCTTGGTATTAGACTGAAAGAAGAAATTGATCAAATCTGGATGAAAATCAAAGAGGAAGGTATGATCATTAACCTAATCTAATTTTTTCAGTTGGTTTGGAGATCTAATTTTTTTTCTCTTTTCGTTTAGGGGCAAGGCTACAATGGTTGAAACCAACAGTCAGCCAGTCTTGGATAAATAAGAGCTATGAAGTAAATTCCAATAGTTATCCTTCATGAGCAGGAAATTGCATCAATTGTGCATCAAAAAGGCTTCGGTGGATTGGTGTTAAGTCAACATTTTAAAACAATGAAGAAACTGAATCTAATTCTGAGCAAAATGGATTTTAATTTTGAATGTCCTTAATATACTAACAATAAGTTATGGAAGGAAGTACCTAGATGAACGAGAAGACGTACTTATACTGTAGGAATAAGTTCACCTTATTGGAAGCAAATGTACTAATAATGATCGTAATAGAACTGATCTTAATCTTTGCAAAATGATAACAAATCTTAAAATACTCACGATATTCCTTTACGTTCGCTTCGAAACGTTAAGTGTGTGTGCCTATTTCGCGTTCGGTTATTTTCGAGGTTTCGCGTTCATTTCGTGTTCTCATCGGACAAAAAAACCAAATAAAAAGGTAAGTTTATTAATCTAACCTAGTTTGTTAAGTTCGCTTAAAGAACTAATTTTGCTTTTTTTCCTTGGTTAGGGGCCGAGCTACAATGGACGATTTCACAAAGTAAATTCTTGCAAATATCGTTAAAGAGTAATTTCCTTCTGCATGGAAAAGGTTTCGATGAGTTGGTGTCAAGTCATAATTTAAACTTTTTGCCTGTAAGCCGAATCATCAGATTAAGTTCCCATCAAAATGGAAAAAATGAATTTTAACAAGATAGACATTGTATATTTGAATCCCATCAAAACTTCTAATGACGTCACATGAAACCTTAAACAAAATTAAAATCTCCTCATAAGAATGAACCATAATCGTTAAGTATATTTTCTAATCGAAAAAATCCCAGCAAAATCGAATTTATATATGAATTTCAACAATGTAAAGAATTACAAATTGAAGGCTGCTCACAAGGCCTTGCTGCTCAGAAACATTAATGACGCCACAAAAAAAAACTTCACTATGAAAATTTACAAGCTCCGTATAAGAATATATCGTGATCTTTCGTCGTGTATATGTACAATTGTGTTGGAAATCAAAAGCATAACTTTTTCGGGAATATAAATTATGGCGAGTTATAACTGAAAACTCCTCATCGACATGAATTCCAATTGGATTATTTTCGAATTGGTCGAAAATACAATTTTCTTGCGCATCATAATTGTTTAACGTCCATTCTGAAAATGAAGCTGATTTCAATTGGATTCTGTACAGCGAATCATCAGAATAATTTTTGACAATCCTCCTCCTAAGAATGGATCAAGAATGAGTCTATTTCCGAATCGGAAAATGTTTGGATTTCTCTCATGAATATGTAGTACTATGTTGGAAAACAAAAGCTAAATTTTTCGGGTATATAAACAATGGAGCTCGATGAAACAGAAACCTTCTTATCGATCCATACATTTTTGTTTCAATTGGATCCTTATGATGCCGAGGGATAAGAGAAAAGTTCCATTTTAAATTTTAAATAAGAAAATAGCAAAAGGAGTTCTCATAGTAAGAGTAAATGAAAAATTTTCTGCCTTCGAAATTGGACTACGTTGCATTTCGGATGTATGAATGAGAAAAGACAGGTAAGTGCGTAAATTTATAAATTACAATCATACCAATTAAATTTCTTATTTTTATCTTTCTTTACAGGATTTAAAACAGGTAAGACATATTTTTGCTTATATTTGCGTGCAATCTCATAGGCTCTCAAATTTGCGAATACTATTAGGAATTATATGTGTATGTTTAAATATTTTCCCAGGACAATTTGCTATTTTTAACATACGCACAAACCTAAATATCCTTGGATTAAAAACACAGCGTACATGATTTTATTTCACTAGTTTATTGTTGTTGTTGTGGTTTTTGTTACTTTAGTTCATTTAACAAATTTTTGGAATGTGGAATTTTTTATTTTTATTTTTGTTTTCTGATCTTTGCTTACTATAATTTCTCTCTCTTCAATTCTTCAGTTGTGGATACAAAAATTCTTAATTAGTTCGCGTATTTTCTTGCTTTCCGTACGACCTTTAAGGTAATATTATTAATTTACTTGTTTTTATTTCTTCAATGAGTTTCTTTATAAAGACTTTAGGTTTGAGACCAATGCCATCAATATGCTTTATGGGGTCGTAGAATCATTGACACAATTGTTGCAATGTCTGGGTCCAACTTATATAAGTTTCAAGTCCCGTTTAATTTTTGATCACCTCGCAAACATATATCATGTTAATAATGCTGCGACAAAAGCTGATTCCTTTCATCATTTTATCTTTTGTTTCCTTTAAATTATGGCTCGATTAGATACAATTCTTTTTCCAATTGCTAGTAGTTTTTTTTTAAAGATATGTGCCAATACACACAATGCTGGTTTACATTAAATTAAATTGGTCCCAAAAAGAAGTAGGATTTCAAATAGATGATTAAGCTTATAGTTACCTAAAGACTTTAGAGACTTCAATTATAAAATGTCCTTTCAAAATTTGTTGGGGATAGTCCAACTTAAACTTTTGCCCAGTAAAAGTAATTGTGGATCGATCTATTTTAAAAGAAACATTTAGTACGTCTTTGCACAAAAATGTCCTTTTATTAAAATTAGAATGAATCAATTGTTTAATCTGTCGTTATAAATACATAAAGTAACCATTTTTTTAGTTTTCAACAAAAATTATATATAGAAGTTTTGAATACGAGATGACCTATCAGTAATTTGAGTAAAGAAGTGCTGTAAACTTGAGCACACGGCACAGATAAAGAAATATCTATTTTATTAGTTGTGTGAATTCAACAAAGGCTACAGATTTGGAATAATATGGACGTAGTATATATGTTGCTGCTGTTTTTTCAGTTCAATGAGTTTTTAGTGAACATAATATACAAAATTTTTAGGAAATTCCAAACTCATTTTTGGGACCAATTCTTTTTCTGTAAACCACCTACAAGAGACTGGATTGATATACATATATTTTAGGTTTTGGTTTTGTTTTTATTTCGGAATATTTGTTGTTGGTTTCTCTTTTGTTTTGTTTCTCTAAATCTAAAAATTATTGAAAATAATAATAAACCTAATTGATGTTTTCACATTCTTCTTGTTAAATCTACACAAAAAATTAACATTAAATATATTTATATATAATATATATATATATGTATAATAATATTTTATGTATGTATACGTATTGGTTTCGTTTGTTTGTTTTTTGTTTTTGTATTGTTTACTTAAAAATGCATACAATTATTAAAATAATCTCTAAACTATACACAAAAAAAGCTTGAAGCCTTCTAACAATCTCTCCATTTATGTTTTGGGTTTTTGTTTTTCTCCATATTGGGGGAGGGGGACTCTTTCGATTTTATTTTCCTTTATTGGGAATTCGGTTATTCTTAAAAAAATATAATCAAATTATATTGTATGTATTTTTCTTTATTTATGCATGTAGATCATCATCGCCGTCTCGAATAAAAAAAGTATTTTTTTCTCAGATTTTTCTTTTCAAAATTTTCACTCTAATTTGTTTGGGTTTACGATTTGTTTGTTTTTTTCTTTTGATATTTTATCAAAAATGTTGCTTTTTAATTTCCAATGTTTTTGTTTTGTTCTGTCTCCAAATTTCAAACTTGGACTTCATACTCCTCACACATTCACATTCACTTGGCTGGCTGTCTGGTGTTTCAGTGTTCACTCGCTTACTTGGGTAGTTCATAAAATTGGACGGGAAGCGCTTTGGGTGTGATAATTTCATCATCGAAGTCTTCATCATGTATGGAATAATCGCCACCACCTCCTCCGCCACCGTTATTGGTACCACCGCTCTGTTCGAATTCATTGGGTACAATTTCAACATCGGTGGGTGTGCCCAATGTCGATGAACGTCCATTGTTATTGCCACCGGCATAATTTGTCCGTGACTTATGTTTGATGACATATTCGCGCAGCAAATGCGAGTAGAGTATATCGTCGATATAGAACATTGTGCCCAAATTATAAACGAATACCTCACTTTCGATTATTTTGGCATTGTTAACACTGGTCGCATTACTTCCAGGATTTCGTGTTATTTTAATATGGCCACCACCTATCGTCTCGAAGACTTCATTATCCTTCAGATCACGATTGTACAGACGTCCCTTGACGAAATGATTCAGCAGCATTTTAACACCTCGTTGGGAGGCCTGTAAACACAAGATAGAGGATTGTTAGCGATATTTTTTTAAGGGAATCTTACTTTATTTTTAAGAACCAAAAAAGAAAAGAAAAAAATTGTGATTTTTTTAAGAATATTTTTCTAGGACCAACAAACGTGGATTTTTAAGAATATTTCTCAAGGACCAAAAAGTACATGGATTTTTTAAATAGCATTTTTTCAAGAGCCTTAAGAATGGTGGATTTTTTAAAGAGTATTTTTTCAAGGGCCAAAAGGATCGTGGATTTTTTAAAGAATATTTCTTCAAGGACCAACAGAAACGTGTATTTTTTTAAGAATATTTTTTCAAGAACAAACAGAAACGTGTATATTTTTTCAAGGACCAATCGAAACTTGGAGTTTTAAAAAATATTTTTTCAAGGACTAACTGAAACGTTGATTTTTTAAAGAATTTTTTTTTTCAAGGACCAACAAAAACGTCGATCTTTTAAAGAATATGTTTTCAAGGATCAACGGAAACGTGGATTTTTTAAAGAATATTTTTTCAAGGACCAACAGAAACGTGGATATTTTTAAAGAATATTTTTTCAAGGACCAACAGAAACGTGGATGTTTTTAAAGAATATTTGTTTAAGGACCAAAAAACGTGGATTTAAAAACAAAAATATTTTTTCAAGGGCCAACAGAAACGTGGACTTTTAAAGGATATTTTTCAAGGACTAACAGAAACGTGGATTCTTTAAAGGATATTTTTCAAGGACTAACAGAAACGTGGATTCTTTAAAGATTTTTTTTTCAAGGACCAAAAGAAGCGTGGGTTTTTTAAGAATATTTTTCAACGTGGATTTTTTTAAAAAATATTTTTCAACGTGGATTTTTTTAAAGAATAATTTTTCCACGTGGATTTTTTTGAAGAAAAATTTTTCAACGGGGATTTTTTTAAAGAATATTTTTTCAACGCGTATTTTTTTAAAGAATGTTTTTTCAAGGACCAACAGAAACGTGGATTTTTTAAAGAATATTTTTTCAACGTGGATTTTTTTTAAAGAATATTTTTTCAACGTGGATTTTTTAAAGAATATTTTTTCAACGTGGATTTTTTTAAAGAATATTTTTTCAACGTGGATTTTTTAAAGAATATTTTTTCAAGGACCAAAAAACGTGGATTTTTTAAAAAATATTTTTTTAAGGACCAAAAAACGTGGATTTTTAAAGAAAAATATTTTTTCAGGGACCACCAGAAACGTGGATTTTTTAAAGAATACTTTTCAAGGACCACCAGAAACGTGGATTTTTAAAGAATATTTTTTCAACGATCAACAGAAACGTAGATTTTTTAAAGGATAATTTTTCAAGGACCAACAGAAACATGGATTTTTTAGAGAATTTTTTTCAAGGACCAACAGAAAGATTTTTTAGTGAATATTTTTTCAAGGACCAACAGAAACGTGGATTTTTTAAAGAATATTTTTCAAGGACCCCCAGAAACGTGGATTTTTTAAAGAATATTTTTTTAAGGACCAATAGAATAATGGATCTTTTGAACAATATTTTTTCAAGGACCAACAAAAAGGTGGATTGTTTAGAGAATATTTTTCAAGACCTATAGAATGATGGATTTTTTGATGAATACTTTTTTAAGGACCAACAGAAACGTAGATATTTTAGAGAATACTTTTTTAAGGACCAACGGAAATGTAGATATTTTAGAGAATATTTTTCAAGGACAAATAGAAAAATGGATTTTTTAAAAATTGTTTTTCAAGGACCACCAGAAATGTGGATTTTTTAAGGAATATTTTTCAAGGAACACCAGAAAAATGGATTTTTTAAAGAATATATTTCAAGAACCAACAGAAACGTGGATTTTTTAAAGAATATTTTTTCAAGGACCAACTTATACATACTACAATCTGTTCTACATTTTGAAATTGAGACATTTATCTTACCATAACATCATCACTCAGCTTATCGAAGCCCAATCTCTCAAAGGCTTTATCGTCTGGGACAAAGAACGTGTAATTGGCTCCGGATACATGTGGTGCAATTTCAGCATTGTTTAAAAACCTGTAAACAAACAGAGCAGAATGTCATAAATTAAAGCAAAGTACAAAACCGATAGGCATAGCAAAATAACCAACCAAACAAATGCCTACCTTGTAATTTGTGTAAATCTGGGGTCTCGTTCCAGCGCCAGGAAGGAATGTGACAAAAATTGTGCCCCAAACCAGGGGAAAGCCAACAGCGGTGGTGTCTCTTTGTCCTTGTGCATCTGTGTAGAGCGAACAGAAATAAAAACGAAACAAATACATTTACAGCATTAATCTTTGCCACACCATTTGTAATGCTCACACACCATTTACCTGATGTAGTTTGGAGACTACCGCTTCGGAGACAAACAAAACTTCGGTTATGATAAACACTTGATTGCCATTGGACAATGTGTAATCGGACATTATGGAAACATTGTTGACATTCGGTGCAGCTGAAAATGGGATGGGGGTAATAAATTAAGGATTAGGGTTACTATTTTTGTTTTTTAAGTAAATAATGAGAGAAGAAAATTGTGTACAAGGTGGAGATTGAAAGTTTTGCACAGTGGTTTCAAAACAAGAAAAAAAATAAAAAAAATTGTTAAAACGAGAAAATTTGATCTGAGTTTGACCTATGACCTCTGAGAAAAATTGTCAATATTGTTTTTCCATAGGTCCATATAAAGCCTCTCATATATGCATTCTAGTTTTTGGTATAAATTACACATATAGTTTCATTGCCGTTCTGCTACCCTTTTTGCAATAGGCTATAGGCGTATATTTTTAGGAAAAATTGTCAAAATAAATCCATTTGAAGTACAGGTCCTGGTTTTGCTATAAGCCTATATTAAGTTCGAAGTTTTAAGGAAATATTACAAATATTTATCCACGATCCATTAACAGTGCAGGTTAACATACTGTTGAAGCCCCATATAACTGCCCCCATACTCATACCCACAACCATAGTATGGAGAGTATATTAAGTTTGTCATTCCAATTGTAACACCTCGAAATATACATTTTAGAACCCTCAAAGTTCAACGATGATCGTCCGTACGTCTTTCTATCCTTCAGTGGAAATCACTCTAGATTCCGCACTAATTGAAGTAGATTGCAGGATTTTTGGTATTGAAAATGGGCTATACCGGTCCACGTTTAGTTATAGCCCCCACATAAGAGTACCTCCCTATATTCGGTACTTTGATGATTTTAGTGACATTTTTCACCGGAATTGTTTCAAATTTCGTAATTGAAGTTCTTAATCGGTACTACAGCCTGTGACAGAAAATTGGCAATGCAGGTCCAGGTCTTCGTATGGCCCCCATATGACTGTAACTCCCCATATTCGGTTTTTTTTGGTAATTTTATACACATTATTCAACGGAATTTTTTTCAAATTTCGTATTTTAAGTTCCTAATGGTTTCTTCAGCCTATGATAGAAAATTGTCTATGCTGGTCCAGATCTTCGTAACGCCCCCATAATACTGTAACTCCCTATATTCGGTATTTTGATTATTTTAGCGACATTTTTCACCGGAATTGTTTCAAATTTCGTAATGGTAGTTCGTAATGGGAACTACAGCCTGTGACAGAAAATTGGCTACGCAGGTCCAGGTCTTCGTATGGCCCCCATATAACTGTACCTCCCTCTATTCGGTATTTTGATGATTTTATACACATTAATCAACAGAATTCTTACAAATTTCGTATTTTAAGTTCTTAATGGGTTCTTCAGCCTACGATAGAAAAATTGCCTATGAAGGTCCAGGTCTTCGGATATCCCTTAAATATCGGTACCTCTTTATATTCGGTATTTTGATAATATTGGCGACATTATTAACCGGAATTGTTTAAAATTTCGTATTTTAAGTTCGTAATGAGTACTACAACCTACGATAGAAAATTGCTTATGCAGGTCCAGGTCTTCAGATAGTCCCTAAATATCGGTACCTCTTCATATTCGATATTTTGCTGATTTCAGAAACATTATTCACCGGAATTGTTTCAAATGTCGTATTTGAAATGTCTAATGGATACTACAGCCTACGACAGAAAGTTGTCTATGCACTTCCAGGTCTTCTTATGACGGATTCTATTTTTTATTTTTTTATAAAGATTCTATGGGAGCACAGGTCCATGATTTGCTGCAGGCCACCAAAATTATGAAAATTTCCCAAAGGTCCAAAAGGTCCCATATGCAGAAAAAATTTCAATATACATCTTTTAGATGCATAGGTCAATTTTTACTAAGAATTACGAATACGCACTTAAGCCCCCAATTTGATGAAAATATTTGATATAGATCTTTTAGCTGTACAGGCCCAAGTTTCTTTAATTAGGTTTTCGTCTCGCTATAGCTCTACGCAAATACAACCTTTTTGAGAAAATTTGTTTGTGAAGGAAGTCTCATGAAAAATGTCGTACACCATGTTTTGCGGCAACAGCATATGAAGACAGTATCCTTCAAAAAAATTAACAATATAAGTCCACGTTTTGCTGTTGCCTCAAAAGAAAGCAGTCTCCTTCAGAAAAAATTAATAAAGGAACATGTTTTTCACAGGTCCCATAGGAAGGAAGTATCCTTCAGCAAAATTGTCTACATAAGTCAATATTTTATTGTAGCGCCGTATCTTGCTGTAGTGCCGTATATCTTATCCAAAACAACTGTCAATATAGGTCAACGTTTTGGTGGTCCCCATGTGTAGGCAGTCTTATGTAGCCCGATTAGAAGACATTCTCCTTCAGAAATATTTTCTATACAAGTCTACGTTTTGTTGCAGCTGAAGGAAGTCTCGTTTAAAAAAAAATTGTCAGTATAGGTCCACGTTTCGCTGTAGTACCATTTAAGGCACTATCTTTCAAAATATCTCAATATGAAGATAGTATCCTTCAAAAGCAGATGAAAAAATCTCCTTAAGAAAAATTGTTGATATTGGTTTACGGTTTGTCTTCTGGTGAAAAATACTCCAATTTGCCCATATTTTACCGTAGCTCTTATATAAAATAGTACACTTCTTCAGAAATATTGTTGATTTGGGTTCACGTTTTGCTGTAGCCCCCCGTGAGTGCAGCATACTGGAAAAGTGTTGCTAAAACAGACCCGGGCTTTTACCTTTAAAATTACAATATAAATTCAACTTTTCTAAGGGCACTACCTTGTAACAAATTGTCAGTATATGCCCACATATTTCGCCAAAAAAAATAATGCCCCAGGTTCAACTGTCGACCCACGTTTCATTGACGCCTCACATCGAGGCACCCTTTCTGAGAAATATAAAGACTCTACCAGTAGTAAAATGTCTACCAGTATTAAAATTTGAAAATTTTCCTCTTCTTTGGCAGCAAATTGTTTAAGTTATTTCTTGCTTCATATAAAACCATTTCTTTTGTAAGATCTTGAACCACTGTGCACAGATTCACATTTCTCCGCACTTCTATGTTAAAACTTTTCCCTCCACCTCCACTTTAAAATACTTACGTTGTCCCCTAAACACCACACTCTCTCCGCCCATGGTGCGCACCGCCATTTGATCCATATTCTTTACATCGGCCATACGCAACGGTTTCTGCATCGGTAGGAAATGATTGCGCAGCACACTCTCCGTAAACTCCTGCACACTGAACGGATAGAAGCCCCAATCGATGGGGTGCCAACGTTGAAAGGCATTGTCGGTGGGTATGAGAATGGTGAACGAGCCATCGTCCATTATTTGGGTGAGATTACTTTTCGAAAGGAAATGCTGGAAAACTTTTGTGCCACTTTTCATGCTGCCAAGAAATGACATTAGTGGGCTGGCCTTTGACTCCTTAAGGATCGGTTCGTTTTTGGTGTGGGCAATGTTGCCGGTGGAGTTGCGCATCTCCAAACGTTGTGGTTCATTGTAGCGGCTGTAAAGCAAAGAGAAAACGAAAGAACTTTGACATTTTAGTGCACAATAGGTATCCAAGTCGGTGACTTTCGCCACCCACCCGGCAGCTACTTTAAAGGAATTGAGTTGAGAAACTTATTCTAGATAAAAATACGGAAGTTTAAAGTAGTTGCCTGAGGAGAAGACAGTTTATTTATGGTTCGAGTATTTGTTTTGTTTTTCAGTTTTGCAGTTTTCTGGGAAACTTAAAAGACCGCAGTGATTAAACTTTTTAGGGCAGAACGAAATGTTTAACCCTTCTGAAAGATTACAAATCGAGGTGTTAGGTTTAAACTCGGTTGAAAGGTTAGGTTTAAACTCGGTTGAAATGGCGACAATTTCGATTGGACGAAATTATAAGAATCTGAACTTCTGTTTAAGAAGACGTGAAGAAGGTCTTCTGTCTGTCAATAGGTATCCACCTGCAGAGCACCTGAAGAACGACTTCTGTCTAAAGATCACCCGAAGAACTTTTAACAATAAAAGACCTATAGAAGGTCTTCCATCTATAGAAGACCTGAAAAAGGTCTCCCATAGAAATCCTAAAAAAGGTCTTCTGTCTATAGAGGTCCTGAAGAATTTCTTCTCTCTATAGAAGACCTGAGGAAGGTATTTCATCTATATAACCTTTAGAAGATTTTCCGTTTATAGAAGCCCTGAAGAAGGCATTCCATCTATAGAACCTGTGGAAGATTTTCCGCTTATAGAATACCAGAGAAGGTCTTCTGTCTGTAGAAGACCTGAAGAATGTATTCTGTTTATTCAAACTGTAAAAGATTTTCCTTTTATAGAAGATCTTCTGTCTATAGAAGACCTAAAAAAGGTCTTCTACCTATAGAAGACCGGTCGAAATGCTCCTATTTGTCAAAGACCTGAAGAAGGTCTTATATCTCCAGAGGATCTGAAGAATGCCTTCTGTCTATAGAAGTTCTAAATTAGGTCTTCTATCTTTAGAAGACCTGTAAAAGATATTTTTATCTCTAGAAGAAAGACTTCTGTCTAAAGAGGACCTGAAGAGAGTCTTCGTTTAAAAGAAGACCTGAAGAACTTTTGACAATAAAAGACCTAAAGTAGGGGTTCCATCTAAAGGAGACCTGAGGAAGTTTTTCTGTCTATAGAAGACCTGAGGAAGGTCTTCTGTCTATAGAAGACCTGTGGAAGGTTTTCTGCCTGTAGAAGACCTGAGGAAGGTCTTCTGTCTATAGAAGACCTGTGGAAGGTCTTCTGTCTATAGAAGACCAGAGGAAGGTCTTTTGTCTGTAGAAGACCTGAGAAAGGTCTTCTGTCTATAGAAGACAGATATTTTTATATTTTATATCTTGGAGACCTAAGGAAGGTTTTCTGTCTATAGAAGACCTGAGAAAGGTCTTCTGTCTGTAGAAGACCTGAGGAAGGTTTTCTGTCTATGGAAGAACTGAAGAAAGTCTTTTGTCTATAGAAGAGCTGAAGAAGGTCTTCTGTCTATAGAAGGTCTGAAGAAGATATTCTGTCTATAGAAGGTCTGAAGAAGATATTCTGTCTATAGAAGGCTTGAAGAAGGTATTTCATCTATAGAACCTGTAGAAGAGTTTACGAAGGTATTCCATCTATAGAACCTGTAGAAATTGTTCGCTTATAGAAGATCTGAGAAGGTTTTCTGTCTGTAGAATACCTGGAAAATATATTTTATCTCTAGAAGACCTTGAGAACATTTTCTGTCTATAGAAGACCAGAAGAAGATCTTTTATCTATAGAAGGGATGAAAAAGGTCCTGAAGTGGACTTCGTGTTGTGTCTAATTAACCTAACTTAAGAAGTTCTACTATCTACAGAAGATCTGAAGAATGCCTTCTGTAAATAGAAAGCCTGAAGATAGATATTTTATCCCTAGAATACCTAAAGAAGGTCTTCTGTTTGAAGAAGGTCTTCTGTCTATAGGAGACCTGTAGAATGTGTTCCATCAATGGAAGACTGGAAGAATGTTTTCTGGCAGAATTGTATAATTGAAGACCCAGGGAAGGTTTTTTTTTTTTCTTTAGAAGACCCGGGAAAGATATTATGTCTTCAGAAGAACTGAAATTCAGAAGACCTGAGGACTTGAAGAAGGTCTTCTATCTATAGAAGGCTGAAAAAAGGTCATATGTCTGACCTGACCTACAAAATACCTTAGATCCCCTTTTCTAATGGAGGTAACATTGATCTTATCATGAAACCTCCAGGGGTATTGAAAGGCCGGTTGGACATCTGTAGATCTTCTTTAAAAAGGTTGGTTAGGCTTCTAGAGGAATATTTACTAGTCTTCTAAAAGGAACCTCAATAGGTTAGCTATTGGCAGACAGTAATTCTTTCATGAGAAATGTGTTGCTTTCGAGCACTTCTTGTCGAACTGCACTGTAGCAAATAAACCTCTAGCCATAACAACAAATAGGGTCAAAAAACTGCCACAAATCCAAAAAAAAAAAAAATCTGCAAAACAACTTCTCTTCAATTCTCTAAAAAAGTTTTGTTTTTTTTCTTATTTTTCTTCAAACCCCCTACATAACAAACAAACAACAAATAAATTTCACCCACACTTACCTACTACTGCCCTCCTGGATGTTCCGCTTCGAATACGGTGACTTTCGATCGCCCAAATACCCATCGATGGCCAATGCAATTAAATTATCATTGATGCGGACACGATGCAATATCTGGAAGCCATTCAACAGCCAGACCACATTGTTTGGCGATTTTTCCAATTTGCGAAAGACAATCTTATGGCCATTACCATTGCCGTATGACGACGAGGACGACGACGACGATGATGATGCCGCTGCTGAATCTTCGTCGGCATAATTTTCGAATGCCCGTCCCGGTACCATATGTTCCAGCATGAACTCTTTGAGACGTGGCTTCTCAATGGTGCGTACATCAATTTTTGGTATAATTAAAGTAAATGGTATATCTGGAAAGAAGATGGAGAAAGAGAAAAAGGAAATTACATCATTATGCTACTCATTATCCTTGTCATCGTCCTTATTGTTCGACAATGAAGTGGACAATTGCACTTAAGAAAGGCTAATTGGAAATTAATTTCGCTCTTAAATGAGTTTCGAGCTTTTTCCCTCAATGAATGATGGAAATAATAATCAATTTTTATTAAATTTTATTGCGTTCTTCAAGAGTGATTTTATTTTGAACTACATATTAATTTGTAAAATATTTATTGTAATTTCTTTTTTTATATTATAAAAGTTTTAAGGCCATTTTATTAAATACCAATTAAAAAAAAAATATATTCACTCAGATGTGTTCAGGAATTTGCGTAGGAATTTGTTTAACTAAAGACTCTTAAGAATGAAGTCCTCCAAGCACGACTTAGACCAAGAATTTGTTCACAGGATTATTATCTAAAAGATTTTCGAAACTTACGAAGCTTAAATAAGACTTGTTTACTCAACCATACTGGATGTCTCTTGATTGTCTAGAGATTCAACGGAAGGCATATGGAAAAACAATAAAGACTTATTAAACCCTTACGGCTTGTAAGGGTTGCTTGTAACTAACTGAGATTTTTGATCAGCTCAATCAGCTGATTTTCTACAGATCTTTGGGGGGCTTCTTGTATGTTTCATAGATTTTTAAAGATTTCAAGGATAGCCTATTTCAGGCTTCAAAATAAAACAATACATTTATAAGGACTAGGGACTGTCCTTATAAATGTATTGTTTTGGAAGGTATTCTGTCTATAGAACCCGTAGAAGATTTTGCGTCTATAGAATACCTGGAAAATATATGTTATCTCTAGAAGACCTGAAGAAGGTCTTCTGTCCATAGAACTTGTAGAAGATTTACCGATTATAGAAGACCTGGAAAATATATTTTATCCCTAGAAGACCTGAAGAAGGTCTTCTGTCTATAGAACCTGTAGAAAACTTTCCGCTTATAGAATACCTGGAAAAAATAGTTTATCTCTAGAAGACATAATGATGATCTTCTGTCTGTAGAAGACCTGAAGAATGTCTTCTGTCTATAGGAGACCTGAAGAAGGTGCTCCATCTGTGAAAGACTTTAAAAAAGTTTTCTGGCAGAACTGTACAATGTCTTTTGTCTTAAGAAGACCTGAAACAGGTCTTCTGTCTATATAAGGCCTGAAGAAGGCATTCTTTCTATGGAACCTGTTTACTGTCTGCTGGTCTTCGGAAGACGCGGGAAAGGTTTTCTGTCTTTAGAAGACCCTTGAAGACATTTATAAGGACGGTCCCTACCCCATGAGGACACAAAATGTCTTCCATCTATAGAAGATCTTCCATCTATAATACCTGAAGAAGGTATTATTTTTCTTTAGGATCTGAAGTAAGTCTACTGTCTACGAGTGAATTGATCAAGGCTTTTATTTTGAAGAATATCTCAAGAAGTCTTCTATCTATAGAAGACCTGAAGATGGTCTTCTATCTAAAGAAACGCTGAAGAAATACCTAAAGAAGGTATTCTGTTTATAGAAAACCTAAATAAGGTCTTCTGCCTATAGAAGACCTGAATAAGGTCTTCTGTTCATATAAGACCTGAATAAGGTCTTCGTTGTATAGTAGACCTGAAGAAGGACCTGTACAGAGCTGTACAGCTCTATCCAGTCCTTGCAAGGATCTTTTCAGTCTAATTGTAGTTTTTTTTTTTAAATTTTGTAAAGTTTCTTAGAAATAGGAGAAGTATTTTTATTTATATTTTAGGATGGACACGGATATATCCGGGTATATTTGATACGAAATTTCTGGTCCGAAGCCCCGGTTTTACTCGATTCTACCTAATCGATATATTATTTGATAGAAGATACTTATCCAATAAGTGGTCACATTATGGGGTTATTTAAACCGGGTTGGCTGTGCTGGTGACGTATGTTTCAATATCTTTCCTGAATCCAGTCTTAAAACCAGTAATATTCAATTATGTTAAATTTATTGAGATTGATAAATATATAAAAATTTGGTTCGCCCAATCGACGTTGAATATATTTCAAAAAGAGAAAAATTTGAATTTAAAATAAGTATAAAATTAAAAAATATTTGCTTAGTTGGTGTCGGACATCTTCAGAATAGAAAATTTCAAGCTGCAGCTAAAGTAGCCGTCCTACTTAAAATATGATATAACTAAGAAAAAACGTTGGTGTGCGTACCCAATGGAAGACATACCTCAGAGAATTTTGTAAAAAAATCCGAGTCGTAAAATTAGGTTATTTTGCTAAGCCCTGAACCTGAACTTTTGGCTCAAACATCAAAGTACCATACGTTTCCGAAATCTGAGTAAAAATACCCACCGAGGGGAAAAAATTAGAGTTAATCCCCCCATTTCAGGGCATTTGGAGGCAATTAAGCGACGTCAGTCTATGTAGCTGGAGCGTTGTTTTCCAAACTCGACTTAGAATTTTGCGTTTCCTTCCCCATTAAAGTTTATATTCTATTGCTTCACACCTTTTGGTTGTTTTTCTTGGCCAGAGAGTCACTGGCAAATATTATTTTAGGAATCCGCGATTTTGCTGAGCTGAGCTGCTGCTGGTGACTATCCAACCAAGAAAAGCGGCTTTTTTAAATTTGAATTTTTAATTTTGTGAATTTAAAAAAAAAAATTATTTAAAGTATTCTTTTTTCTAGTACCTTCCACCATTCTATTGAGGGTATATTAACTTTATCATTCCGTTTGTAAATCCTCGAAATATTCATAATAAAACCTACAAAGTATATATATTCTGGATCAGAGTGCAATTCTAAGACGATCTAGCGATGTCCGTCTGTCTGTCTGTCTGTCCGTCTGTTGTAATCACGCTATCTTTCGAACGAATTGAGATAGAAGGCTAAAAGGCAGGATAAGTTCGTAAATGGGCCACGTCGGCCCACGTTTTCGTATAGCACCCATGTAACGGTAACTCCCGATATTAGGAATATTCATGAATTTAGCGACATTATTTACCGGAATTATTTCAAGTTTCGTATTTGAAGTTCATAATAAAGTCCACGTCTTCGTATAGCCCACATATAACGGTACCTCCCGATATTCGGTATTTTGATGATTTTAGCGACATTATTTACCAGATTTGTTTCAAATTTCGCATTTGAAATTATGGATACTACAGCCTATGACAGAAAATTGTCTGTGCAGGTCCACGTTTTATAACCCCCATGGTACCTCCCTAGATTCGGTATTTTGATGATTTTAGCTACATTATAAACAGATTTTTTAAAATATTTTTGAATATTGTAATAGGTTGTTACAAAATTTGCCTATGCAGGTCCACGACGTCGTATAGACCCTAATATATGGCTACATTCGGTAATTTTAAGATTTTAACAGAATTTTTAACGGATGTTATTTTTGAAAAATGTTAAATTTATACCAAATGGTGGAGGGTATTCAAAGTTCGGCTTTTTTACTTGTTTCTCTATAAAAATAATTGATCTCTCAAAAGTATAAGTCAGGCTACTTATTAGTGCTTTTGAAATTAAAAGCTGAATCATATTAAATCTCAAATTGGGTTAGGCATTTTAAAATTACTCATACCCCTGTACGAAACCGCAAACATATGTGTGGTAATGAAAATTTGGAATTTTAAATGATGGGGTTGTAAAAATACCACTTTTATGACTCGAATGCTACCATTTGCCAAATCATGCAAAAAATCCGGTTGCTTGATTTAATTCTTCAAAAACAAATACTTTGAGACAGTGTTACAATAAATACGTGATAAAAATAAATGTTTATTCAAATCAATTATTGAAATTCATTCATTATATTTCGTATAAATACACCCAACCCTTATATTTTTTAAAGAATTTTCAATGGTTGTGGTCTCTTTTTGCTGTCACACCCTTGCACAATTGCATGGTTGGGCAATTTAATATTCAACTGGCCCAACATTTAATTCTTCATAACAACACACATTATTATCATCATCATCATTATGATTATGATCGCATAAGACCGTCGTCCGCCAACATTACATTTAAATGATAACATAATGTCTGATTGCCTTACGGTCAACAACAACTATTAGCTGCCCAAACTCACACCCCATTCATAATAGAAGTACGTGCCACATGAGGATTAGGCCAATTTAATTGCGGTTGGAGGAGGCACTGCTGCGATGGTCTTTGCTGGCTGCTTCTCAGTCTTTTCAGAACTTTAATTAATTATAATTCACACCACACATTTCAGGTGTGTTCTAATATAAAATACATTCTTTCTCTAACAACTATGTGTGTGTGTGGGAGTGTGTGTCTGTATGGAGCTGTGGTTTGGGCTTTTCCATAAACATTCCATTCTCTATTAAATTTTTTGGTTATATCATTCGGCTATGATCCAAAAAAATTATAAAAAAAAGAATTGGCATTAACAATAAGAACAAACCAAAATTCGCAAAACATTTATGTTCGCTTTCAATTGTTTTTCGTTTGGATGGGTGGTAGTACCTGTCGTTTGTTGAAGATTGTTTGAAATTGAAATTCATATCACATGCGGGCTATGCGAGCATAGTTGAATAATTTTTTTTTGCCAAAAAAAAAAAAAAAAAAAAACAGAACTTTGAACAAAAATCAAATTTTTTGTATAAGTGGATACCCTTTTAAGTGCAGACGACCTCGATAGCGAAAAGTCCACTTTATTAGAAAAAAGGACATCATTTAAAAAAACTTGAGTTTGCCAATATTTAAGGTAGACCACACTGGGGTACAAAATATGCTGTTTTCTCATTTGCAACATTTCTATGTCGATTTATGGATGTTCTTCCGTATCTCTCTTCTCTGAGAATCGTGGAAATATTTGTGAGAACTCAATTGACAGGTATCGTGGATTTTCTTTTGTGTTTTTTAAGAAGGAGACCCCGAATCTATGAATCCTTTTAAATATTAGTCAAGGATTCCATGACCAAAAATCTTTTTATGCCCTCCACCATAGTATGGAGGGTATATTAAGTTT